TTTCGCTTAATCGCGTACAGTGATGGAAATAGCTTTATTGCTGTAGTTGCTGTTAATGAGGAGCAGAATAGTAGGAAAACGTGGGTTTCTCTCGGAGTTGTGCTTCCTCTTTTACTGCTCCCCGGACTCAGCGGGGGGAAAGCCCTGCTTTTCGTGCTTCTAAAAACAAAATTAAAGTGCCTGAGGTAGTTTTTCCACAGGACGGTAGTCAGGGATAACCTCTGTCCCTGAAGGGATGAAAGTTCTGTCAGTATTTTAACTGTTGCTTATTTTCTGGACCAGAATTCTTGAACAGCTTTACTATGGCCACAACTTGGTAGAAATTAATGAAGTACTTCAGCTTGCTTTGCAGTTCTTTGAACTCACCTTCTCTCTCTTCTCTGTAATCTTTCTGTGACACCAACAGCAATTGTTGTATTGACTTATGTTCCGCTGGAAGCTGCTCAAATACCATGGTAACAAATGAGGTCTAAGAACCTGCACAGAATAGGAGATATGGATAAGTAACCTTAGGAAAATATTATCTGCCAATGCATTTCAACCACTGGAAATTAGAACAAGTGCCACTGGTACTCCTCTGGCAGTATTTTGAATGTACTGATACAGGGACGGTAAGACTGACAACTAGTTTCAGGTAACAGTGTTTGCATGACTTATCCTATTTTGGTTAGGCTTTACTATTACGACTGTTTTAAAAGTGAACTTTTGGCATGTTAAAAGGGGGAAGTTCCCCTCTGAGAGGGGAAGACCCTGGGGTGTTAGCCTGCCTGGTTTAGCACATACGTTATGCTGATATGACAGAAAGTCAGCATGCCTTAGGCTTGAGGGGGGAAAACGCTCTGTCACATGCATGTATATGACTTTTCTGCACTACAGTTTAAAAATACACAGGGGAGAAGCTCTTGCAGCATGAAAAAAGGTAGTTCTACATCTATTTACCATCGGTATTTGTACAGAGAAGAAAATAGGACTTCTGCAGCCTGAGGAAAATATACTTTGCTAACTTACCAGAAGATGGAAATATTGCATGGACGAGGTAGTGACTTTTCTGAAAACAGTATCGTTTGAAGTGTCAAAGGCTTGATGCGCTTCTAACTAACATGGAAGATCCGATTTTCTTATGAACGCTGGCTTAGCTGTGTCAAGTATCCTCTGGGCCCATTTTAAAGACGGGCTGTGAAAACTAACAGAGTGGACTGTCTCTCTCATGTAAATACCTGCCTAGAAATAAATGTGACAAAGCATTTGAGAAAATTTATTTTGGGTGTGATAGCATTTTGGTTAGATGATGTGTCTTTGTGACTTCAGCACGCCTTTGCATTCTAACGGTCTGTACTCCTGTGTTCACATGATTCTCCTTCGTCATTTACTCTTCAAATCTCTTTGCTGCAGTCCATGTTCTCCCTTCTTATTCCTCCAGAGTTGAGTTAGTGATCAGTTTTACTCCGTCATCCCCTTAGGATGGGGGTGGAGATGGATTTTTGTTGTTGTTGTTGTTGTTTCATTTTCTTTACTACAGCAACAGGGAGGTTGTGCTCATACAAACTAGTGTCAGTACTTTTCATTAGGGCATGTTGGGGACTCTGCTTATTGTCCTGTTGGGATTAATAGGGCTGTCTCTGCATTAGTAAGTAGAATAGTATCTAAAGCCACCACTTGTGGAAGGAACTTCTTCACCAGAAAAAGCAATCAAATAAATCTCATTTGCAGATGTTTGATCATATGTAGGGATGGCTTTTTGTGTATTGGCCTGCAGTTTTGGTGCTTGTTGAAGTTGCACATCACCACAAATTGTGTATAGTGCTAGCTGAGACCACCAAGCAAATAGTCTACCTATGTCTGTTGTTTTATAATGACAAATACATTATTTAACCATTAGAAAAACAGATTTCCTTTAAACCAGGAAGGAGAACAGAGGTTCTTTTGGTATCTGAAAGGCATTGTCAATGTACGTTCTTGAACCCTTTCACTAAACAATGTCTGAATCCATGTTAAACTTGTTTGAAACAGGAACTTAAACTAAGCTTCCCTTTCATGTTGCGTAATAGTTTTATTGCTGCATTTAGAGAGCTTACTGACAGCAATGGTAACATGTTGTTTGGGGCACCGAGTGGTGGGAAGAAGGGAAGAACCTTTCATAAAAGCTACTTTGTGGTTCTGCTTATTCATCAAAGGCTGTCAATTGTATATTGAGGCACTAGCAGGTATATTGCTCACTCCTGACTTTTTCACATCATTTGGAGATGGTTTAGTTCTTATTCAGGAAGATGTCTTAGGATCTCTTTTCTTTTTAGGAACAAAAGATCAACATTAGCTGCCTGGCTGGGGAAATCAACATTATCCCTGCAACAGTTGTATGAATGGTTTCATTTTAAGCTATGTTAGCTGTACCTCCTCTTCTGCAGGCACAGAAAGAGTCTGAACATCTGCTAAGAATAAAGGACATCTGATTTTTGGTTTGGGCTGTTGGTTTCGATTTTTTTCCCTCTCTTAATGGTATGTTATGGAGTTCAATGCAGTTTAGATTCTTTCCTCTCATAACTAGTAATTACACTGTTACGTATCTCAGGATCAGCTCACTTGGAGCAAAAGAAGAATTTTCACACAGAATATTTGCAGACCTCATCAGGAAAACATGCTGAAAAAGAAGAATTTCAGTTTTGTATCTGACTACTTTGGTTGGATCTCCCAGTCTGATCCCTAACCCACAGTAGTTTACCACTGTCCTCGTCAGCAGTCCTTCGGCTTCAGGAGTCCTGTTCTCTGTCTCTCAGCACTTCTCTCAGTTTATGGGTGAAATTCATGTAGCTAATTGCTTGACTTCTACATCAAACTGAACCCACAAGCTGGTATTTTTGTGATATTTGATAGAAGATAGGAGAAGAGGTGAGATTATTGAGACATGTTTCCACCTTTCCACTTTCTTCTCAGAGGGACTGAGCTGTTGCCTGAATCTGTTACTGGTTCTGCTAATGGTGCTTCATACATCTCCTGTCTTTCCAAGCACGACCCCATACATATGCAAGGAATACCAGCTGACCTTGCTACTGGTGAAGCTCTTTACAGCACCAAGTCAGTTAGTTTTGAAATGGATACCTTTCCATTTTCCTTAGCTCTAGTTCTCTTTTGAAAAGGAAAAAACCTTTCAGAAAGCCAAAGAGGGAGAAGAGGTGTGTGTGTGCTGCACCAGAAAGTAAACACTCAAGAAGTACTGGTAACTTTATGGAGGGAGAGGAGCTTAAGGGCATATTTACGTGCTGCTGTTCATGCCTTTGAAAATATCTCATTAAAAGGGTAGTTGAAGACCTTGATGTATTGTGTTTTGGGAACTGAAGACCTTGCTTTGTTTTCCTTATAACTACCTGCTATTTTTAGGAGTCTTAACTTTTTTGTGCGCAGAGTAACATCCTGGTTTTTTTTCCCTTGTCCTATAAGCCTGCAACAGTCTCAAGTATTAGCATAAATGAAAGCTCTGAAGAAAGTAATGAAGGTATTTTTGGAGCACGTGACTTACTGTGCACCTAGAAAAATACATCTCTAATATTTTTGTTCCGATAATTGCATTGAACATGAATTCCTGTTTTACAAGGTTGACTTATTGCAAAATGCTTAGGATATGGAATTGTGCCTCTTACACATTCTGCTATGGTAAAATACATACCAAGACTAAACGAGGGGAATCCCGTTTGTATAACGGAAGCAAAGAAGTAATTCTGGGGATCAATTTGGTGTTCTGGAACTTACTACATATTACTGAACCAATAAGCTGTATATATGTCACTTAATTTACAATCTTTATTTTGTAAGTTGTTCATAATCCTTTCCGCTATAGCCAAATTAAGACTATTTCAAGTTGCAGTTGTTCTGGTGGGTTTTTTTTTTTTTTTTTTTTTGGTGAGATAAGGCATTCTGTTTCAATGAGAAAATGTGACTAACCTTCCAATACCTGATCCAAATTAGGTAATAATTAGATATAATTACTGTTCCTAGGGGGAAAGTAATTCTGCCTTACTGAAATTCTTTTATCTTCAATTAACCTACTCTGTTCTGCAGGAGATATTAAGTGAAGTGCCAGCTTGCTTTAGGCACTTCTTTTAAAGCTGCTAACACTTGTTTAATTTACCACCATTGCTCAGTATCTGTAGTCCAGTGAGCCCCATGTATTTATGCACTAACCGTAGTAATGACTGTATACTTGCATAGCACTGAACTTGCTGAACAGCTGGTTATACCAGCTTTTCATCCTACCAGTCTGTTTCTATATAGATTGATGGGAAGGGTGGTGGCCTGCTTTTCCATTGTCTCCCTATACCTTGCATTACGTTTCACAGGGTAGTAGGAGGGGAGGAATATGAACAATTTTTCTCTATTCCCGCCTAGTAACAAACTAGGCTTTATTACTTCCTTTGCTTATGGAATATCTTGTGTAACTTTGGTCCATTTTCAGAAAGCTGTGATAAGGATTAAGTTGATTTGGATACACATTTTCATTAGACAAACATACTTTTTTCCTGCACTGACAAACTGAATATTGAGTGTTCTTATGGTTTTATTTACAAGTGTAAAGCTAAATCTGTTTTCAAATAGCAGGAAAAGTGTGAAATACTGGCTTCAGAATTGAAATGGACCTAGGTTTAAGTAATTCCATTTTCATGTGGGATTTGATTTCACTTCAGTGAACAGAATCCATTTTTATGCTCATATACCTGTTAATTGGGTAGTCTTAACAAATCTTTCTCCTTCCTTCTCCCCCTCCCCCCACGCTTTTTTTTTTCCCCCTGTTATGTGTCTTTCTGTGTGGACCAGCTCTGCTCTTCTCTGGGGAGAATGAATGAAAGAGAGAATTGGAAGGCCATTTAAATAGATGAAGGTGGCAGTTTGTAGTTGTCATCTAAACCCCCGTTGTTCCGGCAACATAGCAGTGCATTAACAAAGCCAGAAATTAATGCAAAGTGTAAAGTTCGGTCTAAGCAAAATGCATCTACAGATCTTAGTGACCCATAGTTTTGTATAAATATAAAGAGTAAAACCTGTCTTTTGTTAATTCATGTTGACAAAAATTCCCACAACTGGCGTGTCTACAGAAGAGGTCATCAGATTCTTAGCGTCTTGTTTTCCAGATAGCCCTCGGTGTCCTGGGCCTGCTAGCACAACTGGAAATTTAGGTTGGAAGCATGGCGTGCGGATGTTTGGCTACTACTAGTAACAGAATTCAAGGGACCATTAGTTTTAGGTTTGATGATACTTAGAATAAGGAACTGTGGAAGAGCCAAATATATTCCTTTCTAGTGCCTGAAAAATCGTACCTTTTTGGTCTAACGTGCCCTTTTTGCCGACTCTGATGAGTATGCCTATGTTTTTGTTTTTCTTAAAAATCAAGAGTTTGTTTAACTCCGAATGAGGGCGAATGCATAGAAGTTTGGTTCTCCCCTGTGTAGGAATACCCTATGGATCTTCAGCGTTTGTAACTTCACTTTACATCAATATCAACGTACCTTAGTAGGGCAATTATTTTATTTGCCTTGATAGCTACAAGTTGTGCAGCAATGGACAGTATTTATGGAGCTGTTATGAATATAATTTCACACAAAAATGATAGGTGTCTTGGTCTGAGACCTACTAATTTATTTTGATTCTCCTGAATAGCTTCTCAGTCCAAAGTTTAGTGGATCATTTTTTTGATTGGGGGGGAAAAAAAAAAAAGGCTTGCAGAAAAGCACGTTGAATGCCATAATGTTTCCAACAGCCCTGTAAATTATGTATCAACTGTTGCTAGCACATACAAACAAAGTATGACATCTGTGGCCTTTTACATTTTTTATCATCAGTTGTGCTGTTTTAACAGTGACTTTGCATCAGAAAGTTCTTATTACGTCGACGGTTTGTTTAAATAAGATAGCTTGTTTTTCTTCCTGTTTGCTAAACAAATATTAATTTGCTGGGGATGCTGCCTCCAATCTATATCCTTGATTGCGACCTGACTCTTTGAAGTCTGTTTTATAGAAGCTCACAGTAGTGCACTTTGGGACCAGATTAGTTGTGGGGGAGAAATCCTGCTGCTGGAGTAATAATCTGACAAAAGAATATTTTTCTTGTGTTTTCAAGGGCCTTTTCTTGCTAGCTCACCGCACTAGTGTCAAGTTCTTTAACAGAAAGACACAGCTGAGACTTTGAAGCCTGTGTTTGAGGTTCCTCTTTAAATAAGATTTACTTGAAACTTGTTACTGCTTGGAGACTGATACTTTGAGGTTGGTGATGCAGCCAAGGAGGGACAGTAATTCTGAGGTTTTCCCTTTTCAGAGTTCTATGAGCCTTTATGGTCTTGAGGGTAATTGTTAGCTCCTGACGGACACTTACTGCTGCTTTATTTAGGTGAGGAAGAGATAGCGCAAGGAAAGGATTTGGCATGGGGTGGGGGGTTGGTTAAAATCTATCACTTCCTGGTTTATTTTGGAATGCAGTTCTGATACGTTTACTGTCGTAGAAGTGATATATTGGAAACTGATAATAGACTTTGCGAAAAAAACTGTTACACCTGATATATGGAGAGAGATGCATCAGGAGCCTGAAGACTGCTTAGTCTTATGTATGATGACCACTAATTGAGTATTCAAAGACAAAATACACTAAGGTAATTTTAGTTCATCTTTCATATATCTCATGCTCACGTGGTTATGAGCAAAAAAGGGTTGTCGTTGCTGTAAATGATAACCAGTGTGTATATACTACATTCCAACTTTCTGATGCTCCCTGCACCCTCCCCCACCCCCCAAAAATTAAAAATATAAGAATGCTCCTACAAAATAACTTTAGTATCTGTTCCACCTGATGGAAAATTGGATAAGCTGTAACTTGCTAGTAAAACAAAGTTGATCTATTTTTTTCCCAAGTGTAATCTCCTTGGTTGTCAGACTCTGACAGCACTAAAACATTGGAGTAAAACCCAATGGAATTAATTGACTGCATATAGTTGGATAGTTTTCATGGCGTGTTCTGTTCTCAAAAAATGGCTCATGCAGTTTCATTTTGTGGTTAGCTGTTATGCTTTTGGTGTGGGGGACAAATATATATCAGTTTGCTATCAGAAGAGAAATCTGTATTGGAAACTAACTACAGCCTTTTTCCTTCTTCTTTCCTTCTAGTATTGGATGAATGAATATACTTCTTCCCTTGGAATCGGAGTATTCCATTCAGGTATAGAGGTGTATGGCCGAGGTATGTACAAGAAAGCATAGTTCTACTCTTTGTTTTATTAAAGCATAGTAAACTGTATTATTAAAAAACATATTACAGGTGTGCCATCAGGGAAGTAGTCTGGCTCCCAAACCTGCTCATCAGTTTTCTCTTGAAGTTCTCATCTTTTCTGCCTCTGGGAGAAAAAAAAACACTTGGATACCAGTAATCTGGTTGTCGTCTTGCATTCTTGTATACAGCTACGCAACTATGAAAAAGCGTACAATTAATTCAGCTAGCCATAGCAACATTTATTTTAGGTTTCCAAATACCTGCTGTTAAAACAAATTTGTGCTTCACGTAAGCATGGTTAGATCATGTTTCGTCAGTGTTCTGCTGGTACTTAGTACAAGGAGTTAATTTTTAACTGTGATCCGTTATCCGAAACAGTTATCCGTTGAAGAGAGGCACCTGGAAGTGCATGGTGCTCACTAGAAACAGTCTGTTTTGCATTCTTACTAGGAGGTTGGTTGACTTGTTTTAAAGAGTTTCTTTAAAGGGAATTTCATGCGCGCTGTGCATTTACAAAAGATACAGTTAGGATAGAGTAATGCATTCTGACTTTGCTAGATAGGCTGTAGCTTGAGAATGCAGCTTCCTGATTTCCTTAGGCCACTTTGAGTTCCCGCTGTTGCCAGAAAAGATGTTTCTGAGTATGTTGTAGCACAGGCTCAGGTCTGAGGTGTTACTACCTAACAGTAAAGCCATGCTCTGAAGTGATGGTACTGCTAGAAGTATTCCATTTCAAAACGAAAAATCTACTTGAGTTCTTTTCTTGGAATTTGGTTAGGGATGAGGGGAAGTAGCATAAGAGATGTCATGTGATCCAAAGACCAGACTGTGGAAAGTATCTTAAAATACGGATGTTTCAGCTACTATAATGGTAGCATTGTAACTGCATTTGCAAATGTTGTCAAAATAATGGAGAATTGACAAAAATACAGTGCTTGTTACTAGAATTTATTTGAATTTCTTCTGATCCAAACCAGAAAGACCTAACTCCTGAGCATGTCATGCCTGAAACCAAGTTCTTGAACTGTGCCAAATACATGTACCTCCCTTCCTGTTCGTATTATAACGACTTTCTTATATTGTAGGTCATACAGCTACTAGAGCAGTGACTTGCATTTTTCTAAGTACTTCAACCTTTATTTATTAACCTATTGTAGAAAGGATTTTCCACAGAAGTGAACTCTAGACCTGGATGACAATGTATTATGAGTCTTGGGGAAAGGAAGTGTGAAGTCATGCTTAAAGCTTTTATTATGGTGTGGGTGTGACACATTGTATTATCTCACAGACACAGAAGGAAGTTCAAGCATGCTGTGATATTTTCACAAACTGTTGGTGCTTATGCCAGGAGATGTTATTTGCAGACTTCAGATCCATGCGCTGGTTTACTTTCTTCTTACAGTAAAGAACTTTCCAGTACAGTTTAACTCCTGCAAATTAAGAAATTCAAAAACATGTTAGGCCAATGCTAACTGCCATGCTTACAGTTGTAGTGTGCGTTGAATAGTAAGGCCATTGGGCCTTTGAAGATGGAGTATTTTGAGTCCCTAATCTGTAAATATGTAAGTGTATGCTTAAAGATTGCATAAATAAAGAGTATTGGTTGGGTTTCCAATTTAACTTGTAAGTCCTTACTTACACGATGAAAACAGTACGTATGTGTTGTTAAGTTATTCAAGTTAAACCTTTACATTGACACAGGAAGTCTCTTTCAAATTTGTACATAGGTTACCGTTAGCTCTTAAAACTAGACACTTCCAACTCCTTGCATGTTTTACCCATATAAATACAATGTCTAGTTTCCAGCTTTAGATACTTATGAAATGATCTTCCAGTAAATGGAGGTCCGCTGTTCTTTACTGTCATTTTATGCAGGCTTTATTAAATGTGACCTTTCTTTTTCAGAATTTGCTTATGGTGGTCATCCTTACCCTTTTTCTGGAATATTTGAAATTTCACCAGGAAATGCTTCTGAGCTAGGAGAAACATTTAAATTTAAGTAAGAAAGATACTTATTTTGTTATTTTGGAGAAGACTTGTTAAAAAGGCTGTTTGTTGCGTTTATTTCTTGAGGGTAGACGTATTAAATAGTATGCCAAGATTTCTGCTTGATGAGAAGTTAGTGTGATTTCTTTACCTAACAAACAAAAGGTGGGAAGAGGTGATGAGGTAACGAAAAGTGTCTGCAGCAAAAAATAGTCTTTAGCATACAATCAGAGTCTTTAAATGTGTACACGTTATGTAGATTTGTAGCTAGGTTTTATTATTCACACAATATATACAATGGGGTAACTTTCCCAAGCTAGTGAGATCTTTATTCAAAGAAAAGAGGTGAAAAACCTTGCTCTCTGAGGTTTCCCAATGTCTGTTCTCCACTTCCTCAGTGTGATTGCCTTCACCCTTCCTGCACTACCAACTCTCACTGCTCCCAACTGTTTCTTACAAAGATTATGATTTGGAGAGGAGGGAAAAATTGCATCCACCGCTTACAGGAGCTAAGTTGCAGAGAACCTAAGTGAGCTACAGGCCTACAATCAGCAAGGAAATAATCTCATATAAGGAGGACGAAGCGGGTGCTGTAAGATGGAATCTGTGTTATTCTAGGAGGGCAGAAAGATCCTACCACCCACAGTGGGGCGATTTAGGGCTATGGGAGAACAGAGATCCACCTATTTCATGGAAGCATGGCTATCCTCTAATCGCTTTGTTTCTCTTTTTAGAGAGGCTGTGGTTCTAGGCAGTACTGACTTCATGGAAGATGACATAGAAAAAATAGTTGAAGAACTTGGAAAAGAATTCAAAGGAAATGCTTATCACCTAATGCACAAAAACTGCAATCACTTTTCATCAGCTCTATCTGAGGTAAACACATACATGGGTTTATAGAAAGGTGCTTCCCAGGTGGCTACAAAGCATCATCTCCTTCCGGTCTTTTGGATTATGTTTGGCCTAATTTCTAACTTCCTATATCTGATACCTTGGGAAAATATCACCATTTCTTCGGCTTTATTTGTGCTTATGTCCAAAATGCAAGACTGTGCTGCCAAAAATGCTAAATATTACTGTTATACATAGACTGTGTTTCAGCAGGGGTGCGTTCCTAATCGAGAGACCTAGTACAGCAAGTATTAACACAAGTGTTCAAAACTATTTCAGATATTTCAGAGATCACATCTGAAGACAGAACCGCATCTCAATAGTTTTGTCAGAAAATATTAGCAAATTCCGTCACAGAACTATCACACTGAAAATGCTTTGTAGAGTTATGTCATACTTTTGAAGAACAGTAAAGCAATCAAAGTTTTGCCGACAACCTTGATCTTCTGTTAGAGGGGCTTTTGTCGAGTTATCCCTCTGCCAGTTGTGTCCTGGTCATGTGGACACCTGCGCGGTCATGCAAAGTATCCAACTGTAGAATTGAATAGGCTTCGTTTTTCCCCTCAGCTTTATTTTAACCTGATCAGTGTGCCTTTACAATTGAATGCCTGATCACTCTCATGCTTGTACCTGCGCAAGGGAAAGAGCCAGGAAACAAGTAACGAAGGACAAACATGGGAACGGCAGTAGTATTTTTATTTGTAGTGCCAGTGTGTGATGTGTTAGAACTTATTCTCACGCTCATTCTAGCAAGAAGGATTTTTTTTCCCTCAAATGTCCATACAACTTTGTTCCTTTTTTTCGAAATAGTCAATGGCGCACTTCTTGTATAGATTACATTTCATTTAGACTGTGTCTGATCTTTTAGTGGTACTGGAAAATTATGTTGAAATGATGATTCACATGCAAGGCTGGTACGTGGAGGTAGGGTGAGACTGACTAAGCTGCAGATGGCATGAATTCTGGCCTAAAAGGCCAGGCTTTTGCCATACTTTTCGACCATGATCATGTTGTTTCTGTTTTATCTTTTGTCCTGTTTCATGATCAAGTTAACTATAAATAAACAAGGGTATAATTACAAGTTAAATGCTATTCAGTTACAGCAGAGTAGTGTTCCCCGTAGTTGTGAATTTTCTCCAGTTTTGTATTGCAATAAATAATATCAGAAGTGAATACAGAGGATGTAAAGTAAAATAGCTCACTCCTCGAATACTGACAATGAAAATAAAACCATTGATCTGTGGTAAAAACAAGCTTTTAGTACAGCTGTATGTTTTGAGCGGGGGTTGAAACTAGCTGTACATCGTACAGCTTCTCTTGTTCCAGTGAACTGAAATATGTGTGCTTGACCTGTGCACTGTAAGATACTGATCTTTTATCCAAACTCGTCAGAGGCCGTCACAGAATCACAGAATGGTTGAGGTTAGAAGGTACCTCTGCAGATCTAGTCCAATCTGCCTGCTCAAGCAGAGTCACCTAGAGCACATTGCCCGTGCCCCTGTCCAAATGGCTTTTGAATTTCTCCAAGGATGGAGGCTCCACAACCTCTCTGGGCAACCTGTTTCAGTGCTCAGTCACCCTCACAGTAAAGAATGTCCTAAATTGTATGCATAACTTTACATAACTGTAGCACTGGCACTGTCTTTTTGACTGTGATTTCAGAGTGCTTATTTTATAATAGCTTTCTCCTTAAATTTTTGTTTTTGAGGAATTAGCTGTGAATGCAGAGCATCTGTGAACTCATATTTCTGTGCTTTTTAAAGAAATTATCAAAAAAAAGAAGATGAGGTTGTTGGGATTTTTAGGACTTCTGAGTATAAAACCACTTGTCAAACTCACAGTGGGGAAAAAAAAGTCGATTGTGTGAACTGGGATGCTGCATACTGGGAGGCTGTCTTAGTGCAGTTAATTGGGGTGCCTCTTGACCGGTGTTTTGAAATATAAATTGAAAGGCTCTTGCAGCCTTTGCTATTTTGTACAGCGATGTAGTTTTGTTGTTGCTGATCCGTAATAAAAATATAATCCTTTCCTTCCCCTTTCCCCATAGATTCTGTGTGGAAAAGAGATTCCACGATGGGTGAATCGTCTTGCGTACTTCAGCTCTTGTATACCATTTCTCCAGAGCTGTCTGCCAAAGGAATGGCTGACTCCTGCAGCGCTCCAGTCTAGTGTTAGCCAGGAGCTACACGATGAGCTGGAGGAAGCTGAGGATGCAGCAGCATCAGCTTCCTTGGCAAGCTCAGCATCTGGGTCTAGAACTGGACGCCACACCAAATTATAAGTCCTCCTCCAAAGTAACAAACGATTTGAAACACTTCAGTTTAATCTCTCCGGCAATTGACTTCCTGACAGAACATGAGAGCTGACTCTAGAACGTTGTCTTTGTATGCAAAAATGGCTCTCATCCACCTGTGTTTCAGCTCAGGATTATTTATGTAGTGAAAAGAGTTGCTGGGAGAAAAGGGAAGGATTTTGTGTGAAGCCACCCTTTTCATTTTCACCTGTTTGGTAGACCTGGGTTAACTAAACATCTTGTATAAAGCAGAGCTTAAATTATTTGTTTACAGTATTGTGTACTGCTGTTTACAAGTCCTGTAAGGACTCCTGCCACCATGAAAGAAGAGAGAATACAAGTTTGATTAACTGCTGGTGTAACTCAGAGGCAATGATACTATGTCCCGGATGATCTCTTCCCTTTGTTTTAAAGATTCAAGGCAGGTGACCTTTAGATTTCTGAAAAATGCCAGAAACTGCTGAATACTATATATGTGAACAGGGTACTGTGCACTTAAAGTGGCTGATGTAAACAGGTAGATTCCAGGATGTAGGGAGACTGATTTTTGTCTAAGATCTGTTACTAGGAGTATGACCTCTACATTAATGAAACTATGGGTTTTTGCACATATGAAGGGAAATCTCATTGCAATGCACATTAATCCCTAGCATTTTTTTTTTTAACTCAGCCGTGCGGTTTTCTTGTTTTCGATGGGGCATCCTATTTTGTTTCTGTATTTACAGTCTACTTCAACTACCACAGAATTCTGTGATTCTAAACTATGATTTAGACACGTGAACATCACCTGTTACAAGCATCAGCAAATTTTGCTGTTTGTTTTACTTGATTTAAAATTTGTGTTTGAAAGTTAGTACTTGGGGGGGAAGCGTATTTTGCAGGGGCAGACGGGGTTTTGTTTTGTTTTTTGATGTAGTTTGAACTAGTGTAAAACCCAAGCCATTTATGGTTGGGGAATGGCATTGCTTTCTGTTGCTGATTATGCTTCATTTGAGTTTGTAAACATTTATAGCTCAAAAAACAGGACACGAGTTACTGACCAGTTGTGCGTACCCACAGAAATTATAGAGAAATCCTAATTTATTTCCCCACTGTCTCTATCTGTGGCATTAACTTTCTTGCCAGATGTAATGCAGAAAAACCTGAAAATTGCTTAGGCACCTGTGTGTTTACACAGCAGAACCCACTAATCTGCACACATAATTATATCTGAAGGTAAGATGTTATTTTGTAAAACACAGGAAGTATGTTTGGTGGGTTATAATTAGAGCTAAATCATAATTAGTGATCCGAAACGGTAATGGAATGCCTTATTCTTGTTCACTCATCAAGAGAATTAATGGTTCTTCCAGTCATTAGTGTGAATTAGTGAGTTTCTATTGTGCATACAAGGATACGGTAGCACAAACGTGAGTGAGGCGAGCTTGTGGGTTTTTTTTAAGACTTGCTGCCTTAAACTGTAACAAAAACCCCACCATCTGTAAACTGATCAGCGCACAAAGAAGTGTGCATTACTAGAAGTATAAATGATTCTTAGGAGCTTCATTTTTAATGTTTCTGGGTTCAATATTTTTTTTCCATTGAATGAAATGCTAACGTTACAGTTTCTGCTATTTAAAAGGAAAAAAGTGCTCTTGGGAGGCAAGAATGCTTAACGTTACAAATGCTCCTAGCCTTGGGTAGTCAGTGCCATTGAACCCTCAAAAAGGTGCATTAGACTACATTCTAGTAAGAATGCTTATGATGGCCATCTCCAATTCACGTTAGAAATGGGCAGAAGCTTTTCTGCTAGCAGTTGGGTTGAATCCTTTGTAAAACTGTCTAAGCTTTCACTCATCTTCTGTGATGCAGTGCAGTGACAGGAGGAGAGAAAAATCAAGTGAGACTCTAGGAAGAGGGGGATAATAGTAAAAGTCTCTTTAACTGTAGTTTGGTATGTGCGTAATAATCGTTTCCCACTTAGTGAAAGAGATCAAGACTGACAGGTCTACCGCTAACTACAGTATCTGTTTGATCTCCGGAAGGTGGACATACTGACTCTTCGAGTTGATTTTCCCCCCCCGCCCCACCCCACCTTCACTTGAATCTCTGAATGTGAGTTCTCCCTTTCTTTTTTTTCCTGTAGTGAAAATGAATAATGTGGTCTCCAGACGACTCTCAAGCGTTATTACAGAATTAAATATCACACTACTTACAGCTAAGGCAACAGGGCCATGCGTGGATTATTTTGTCTCTGCTGTGCAGTTGTGGTAGAAACATGACTAAGTCTCTCAGCCAAGGCAGGTCCTTTATTTCAGCTCAGGGTTGAGGCCACTGATCTAGCAATGTACTGTAGCTTTTCCTAGGTTTTAGGAAGAATAAATAGAATGAATTTTCATTGCTACCTAACTTTTGTGTACCAAAATCAGCTTTTTAGGCTTCTAATATATCCAGAGCGCTAGGTCACCAATCTCTACACTTTCATTAACACACACAACTGCAGCATGTACAATGCAAGAAACGGTGACAGATCACAGCACAGTTTTTATTTAGAAGTAAAACTAAGACTATTTTTTATAAAGCAGACTGGAAAGTTTGTAACAAAAATGCTCGTTTTATTGGTAGTTGTACAGGTGAAAATGCTGTCCTATGCTTTTTTTTGTTTGTTTTAAAACCATGCATTTGTAAATCGTGTGAAGAAACTGACACCTGAACCCTGGAGGCTGTTCAGTATTGGATCAAAGCGAGCAGTACTGTAACTTCCATCATGTATTGTAAACTCAGCCTCCACCGGATGCCTGAAAGAAGTCACCCTGCCAGTGGTTACTCCTATTTGTTAGCAATAGAGCAAGTTACCTTTCACCAGCATTACTGCCAAGCAGGGATTACTTTAGTCTACTAATGACCGCACTGTGCTAGGACTAGAACACTCCAAATGCTGTGAGAAAGCTGGACACCTGTGGAGTCTTTCCATCAAAACGGGTAGAAAAATAATTCACTACTTCAGGGTTCTGCTCTGTTTACTTTCTCATTCTTGTTTAATTTTCTGTAAGATAGACTTTTGATACGTATTATATTCTTTGACTCGAAGTCATTTTCTTCAAATGCCATTTTCTGTTCAGCAAGCCAAAAAAAAAAAAAAAATCCAATGTACTGTCAGTGTGCACCAGTAACTTCAGAGTGGCTTGGTAAAAATACAGTTGGATTACTTCTAAAACTTGCAATGCAATTCTGATCACTATTGATACATAATAATTTTCACTGTTGGAACTTGATTACAAGCTGACTATTCACTGACGCAATTTTTGTAAACTTGTATTCAAGTTTACTGTACTTCATAGTATTTGTATAAAATTCAAAGAATTTTGACTTTTGTTACCTGTACATGGCAACAAGTTGTCTATCATCTAAAATCCATCATTTATTAAAAATACTTTTATAAAAAAAGACACCTGGCTGTGTTGCTTATTCTTTTGATACCTGTAGTTTGTTTTGTCAGTGCCACACAAGCTGACCTTTTGTCCTGAAAAAATACTTTATTCAAAGGGTAGGAAACACTTGGGTAACTTTATTATAGCTACTTAAGCTATAGTGTACACTAGGCTTGGGCATCAGAACGTGCAGTCAGTTTGATTTGCTTAAGGCATTAGTAAGAGCTATTGTTTTTTAATAGACTAGCTTTAAAAAGTTTTCAGATTTGATGTGCTAAATGCAGGTAGTGGGAGTATCTAAACACCCAGCCTACATTTGGGGTGTGTTGCAGATACAATGTGTGACGTTCTGCAAACCTCTTTGAATACCCAGATCAGTAGTCTGGATTTGCATGGGACTAAGCTGCCATGGAGCACAGCCTTAATGGCTTAGCCTTGGTTACCTAACAGTAAGCAGGGCAGCGAGTAGCTTAGGGTCTGTGGGAATGCCTGGTTTTTGCCAGTTCCTTTGAGCTGAACAAAAAGTACTTGGGCTATGCCAAAGTACTCGATGGCAACACCAGCCTAAGCCACTGCTGCCTGTGCTATGCCTGCCCCTCCTGCAGCAGTGTTGCCGCTGTCACTGCAGCCCAGCCCCGACCCAGACTGGAGAAACCACTGTTTTTGTTGGTGGTGGTGGTGGTTTTGGGTTTTTTTTCTTTTTAATTAAAATTTACAGGGCTCTTTCCCAGTCAGACCAGTTCAGCAGCTGGGTGGCAGCCTGGCTGTCTGCCCCAACCCCTGGCGCTCTGCAGCGAGCCATGGGGGCTGCATGGGGCCAGCCGACAGCGGGAGCCTAGTTGTAGGCAACCCTTGAGGGTAGGCACTGTCAGCACTCGGTGCTGTGGGCTTCAGGAAACTGAAAAAGCCTTAATTTTGTAAGACACTCTGCAAAACACAGGTAGCACATGTTTTAACTGGGTGGCTCTTTCTCTACGAATTCAGGGCCCTAACAAGCTGGAAAATCTTGCCAAAGAGGTTGCTGCGCTGCCCCTCTCCCCCTGCAACAGGCAGCAGGGTGTGTTTTGCCAAGCGTTGGGTGTTGGGCCTGGCATCTTTGTTCACGCTGTTCAGGAAGAGTGGCTGGGACACCGGGCTTCCTGGAGAAGCTGCTGAGGTCCAGGTGCGTTCGCTTTTCCAACTCTGTTACTGGACCCCTAATCGCTAGTAAAGCTGCAAGAGCGTTTGAAGCAAACTCATTATTTATTGAAGTAGAACTTGATGAATTTGGCAGTTCATCAGTTAAAGCTAATAATTTGAGTATAGATCTGTTTTGCCTGTAGATTTCCTGCTCTGAATTCTTCAAAATTGTGCTTTTGCTGTACATAAAAATGCATTTTTTTACTAGGTGAGTAGCTGAGGTTTTTTTATTGAACTGTTCTTGAAGAAACTACAAATTTGTCAAATGAAGTTTCATTTTTCTAAAACAGTTTCTTCAGGCAGGCAAGATTTATCTTGCATGTTTTTCAATTAGACAGCTTTTCTTGTGGCTAAAGACACTTTAATGTGCCTGTTCCTCAAAATAATTTTTTTTTTCCTAGTGCTTCATGTAATGCATTGAAAATGGCTATCGAACTGTTTGTCCTTCTCCAATGTCCTTTGGTTCATTGTCAGGGAAGTGTTGGGCACTGCTTTGAGACAGCAACAGTACTCCGCTGGTAACTCCATTTTCTACTGGGTTAGACTAGGAATCGCTTGGTTTTTGTATGATTTGGTCCACTGAAATTAGCATATCACAAACCAAAACAGGATGTAGCCATGAAGAAATGCACGATTCTTGCCTTGGTTCAGGTGTAGCTCGCCCTTGAGAAGGTCGAGGGCTGCTTGTATCTCCAGCTTCTGCTTCCGGAGGGAAGCTATCCACGCTGGACTAGTTCTTGATGCCCGTCCGTCAGAGGACTGCTTTGAGAGCTAGCCCACCGCCTCTCCAACAGAGGCAGCGTGGGCACCCGTTGCTTCTCACACTCTCTCTTCAAAGACATATATTAATCCTGTAATCCCCAAACCAGACAGACTGTTGCACCTTTTGAGGATTTCCTATGCTTGTTCTAGCCTCCTACAAGTGTGTGGAGGAGAGAGATTACTGTTAGTGCTCTCTGAACAAAGCCAGAGACACTGAAACAGGGACCTCATGTACGCCCCACGGGGATCATGGGTTTCAGTTCTAAGATTGGGGGGGGAGGGGTTGAGATTTCCTCTGTCAGCTCCTGATCCCATGTCACTTTTATACAATCTGAAATAAGATGACCAAGCCCTAGACTTTGAGAAGCCACCAGAGTGTGGGTGCCTGCTAGGGCTCCCCCAGCCAGGCAGCTCAGGAAGAGCACTCGGAAGGGGCCTGGGAGGTCGCAGCAGGGAGAAGCTTTTCCTGGGGCTGTGCTGCCGGTGTGCTGACCAGAGGCCTCACCTCCTGGCCCAGCGACAGCGGAGCTGCTGCGCGCGGGAGTCGAAGGCCTGTTCTTTGGGATGTGGGTTGGGTGCCAGGGTGATTGACAGCACGGCCCCCACAGGGCTTCCTTGGGGATTTGTATGATTGTTGTATGATTTGGTCCACTAAAATTAGCACATCACAACCCAAAACAGGATGCAGCCATGAAGAAATGCAAGATTCTTGCCTTGGTTCAGGTGTAGCTTGCCTTGAGAAGGCCGAGGGCTTCCTTTTCAGCAACGCAAATGATGTGCCTCAGTTACCTCCCTGCCGAAGCCAGGCAAAGACAAATTTTTCTCATGCTGTAGCTTAAACATGGTCGACTTCCAGAGAGCAAGGCAAGGCAGAGAGGAGGAGACTCTCTCTGTTCCCAAAAGGCTTTTGAGTGACACCGTGAATGTGGGTTAGGGTGGGTTCCCTCATGTTTCCCAGGTCTGAATGGTCATTACTGTTAGCTCAAGCGAAGCCAGGGCTTTCCTCCCAGAATAAGAATAAAGCCCTATAAGAAGCATCTAATGACAACACAAACCATGTTGAACAGAAAATGACTTGTGTTCCCTACTTAGGATTCTGAAGCTTGGGGGTTTTGTTCTGTTTTTCCCTCTTCCTAATTTGCGTGTGGGAACCGTTGCCTCCTCCTAGCCTTACCAGCGCGAGCACACAATAGCTTGTTGTTTGTCGCCTGGAAGGAATTGCTGAGCATTTAAATAGCTAGAATTGAGTTTATTTTTCTTCTATGCGCCAGCTCATTCATTACTACAGTTATAGCATCCTAAAAGTGAGGATTTCCCAAAGCACCGGAATTTACCTCCTTTTTCTTCAAAAGATGAGCTGCATCTTATATTTCATACACCAGCCCTGTGTTAGAATCACTAACAACTGCCCTTCCAACAAATTAATTCGCGTTCCCTTAAGCAAAAATGATCAGAGCCGTGTACACTAGCAAGAGCTGATGATAAGGTAGCCAACTCAGGGCCAATTGTTTTTTATGTCAAAGAGACTTTAAAAGTTTAATAAAAATACTAAACAACAGCTGATGAAGAAATAGCCTGCATAGCTTCTATATCCATATACTATTATATAGGCTTTGTTTGGCTTTTCGTAACAAGTGGAAATAAAAATGCCTATGGTGCCTAGCAAAATTCAGTTTGCAGTAAAGCACTGCCTAAATCTGTGCCTGAAAAGCAAACTGCTGTCAGTAATGACTTCAAAGGTGCTCCATTACCTTCTTTGATTTTCTTGTATTTCTAGTTTTCTGCAGGTACCAAACCAAATATATGTCTACCAATATACTGTGCCAGCAGCCCTTTTTTTCATTTTCTCTGCTCTGAATAGGATTGGAAAGTAAAAAGAGTCACGAGGGATAAGATCGATTTTTGCGGTTCTTCCAGCTTTTGTTCCTAGGTTAAAAAAAAATTCATCAAGGTACAGCTGCTCTTCAGCTGTGCAGTGGAGCTTTGGCGGCTCATCCCAGGTGGGCTCATCCCAGGTGGGAGGAGGCTGTGGTGTAAGTGGCTGAGCAGAGGCTTTTTGGGGCAGGCCCCCCCTCGGCTGCTCTGGGGCTGGGGGGGGGGGCAGCTCACCGGGAGCAGAGAAGCACCTCAAGAGATTCCCCAGGTTTTCAGCATGGGCCGCGACGAAGCTTTGGCGAACGCTTTCACCTCTGGAATTGTTTTCTTTAAGCTACTTTGCCCTTCCAGGAGCCTTAAGGCTTCTGTGCGCGTTAAGAGGTTTAAAGGTGTGATCGTCTCCGTGCCCAGACTGCTGCCTCTGCCCCCACCGTCTCCCCTTGCACAAACTCTCCTCCGGCGAGACGGCTGCCCTGCAGCACAGGCGTAGGGAGAGGACGGTCTCCCCGTGTTCGTGGCAAGCGCGCAGGGTGTAGAAACCTGGCGTTCGCCCCACAAGGAGAGGGGGAGCCTCGCGCACCTCTCCAGTTTGCACTGAGTTTTGGAGGCTTGATGGATACAGCTTGGAGCTGTGTTATGCCAGGAACAGCTAGCATGGAAGCAGTCAACAGCTTTTGGAGACAAGCACTTACTGTCCTTTACTTCAAGCTTGGTTAATCCACTTGAAAAGGGATAGCAGCAAAATAGTGAAAGTCTGCTGGTGGTTTCTGTGCTTGGTAACTCCAGGGCCGGGACCCAGAAAGCCCTGGTTTCCTTTCCCAGCGGTCCAGTTCGGGCCCTTGTTGCTTTGCATCCGTGTGCTTTCCCTGCAGCTGCTGTGGGTGCCACCAGGTGCTAACAGCCGGGGGAAGGTGCTTGCGCACCCAGAGGGCAGCCAGCTGCTGTCTCTGGGGGCTTGCACTACACCAGGCTCAACAGGAGATGGGCGCGCAGGGCAGCAAAGCTGTCAGCCTCACACCAGGGCAGTGCTACCATTTGCAATTGTTTTTTGGTGACATTTTTGTCTTACACCTTTGTTCCGTTCACCTTCATGTCTAAGGCCTGTTATCTTTCCATGCTGAGCACTGGCAGAGTTTTTCCTCCCTACAAATACCCAGCATGACAGCAAAACCCAAACTACTTCCCATGTAAGCAATTAAA